TTTCTCTCTCTCTCTCTCTCTGTGGGCTCTGTCTCTCTCTCTCTCTCTCTCTCTGAGTCTCCCTCTTCCTTTCGCCAGGGCTATGGACCAGGGGCTGCCCTCTCTCTCTCTCTCTCTCTCTCTCTCTCTCTCTCTCTGGGCTCTTGTCTCTCCTACGGATTCAGGTCTTCATGGTGCTCATCGCCCTCGAAGATCTCACGTTGCTGTGGCAGAGGTTCGCATCAACTCTGGTAAAAACGACCTCATGTCTAGTATATGCCAGGCTTCGGTGTTGATCGAGTTTGTTCGTATGCTCTACGATGCTTTCGAGCAGGCTCGCACAAATCCTTTATCAAGTTGGTGAGGGATTGTTTCCCTTTCTACGACAGGTCCTGGATGGCTTCCCTCGACTCCGGATTGGGTGACCCTGCCTGCATGAGTTGGAAACCAGTTGGTGCTGGGGACAATCCTTAAGGTACTTCCTGGAATCCAAAGTGCAGGAGGCCTGCTCTTTTCATGACCCAATGGGGCATGCGAAGTTTTTTCGCTGGCTTGTGCTAGGCTGGACGAGCCGTTCAGCTTCGAGTGCCCCACCCTCCGCTGGCAGCTTGCATCGATCCGAGTGTGCATGCTTGTGAGCTCGCATGTGTCTCGTGCAGCTTTCTGGCCTGATCATACCAGCTTGCTTGACTAGTCGAGGTCGGATTGAAATTTTCAGGAATAGCAGAGGGTCAGATCTCAAGTGCACTTTCCTACATGCTGGGATTTATCTGAAAAGATAGCAAAGCAGATCCACAGCTTTGGTCGGCATGGCTGAAGCAGACGTTCCGTGCACCCCTCCCAAGAAGGGGTCAAAGTCCAAGAGGGTCTGGGTGGAAATCTCAGGGCTATGGCAGTCTTGGGAGGACGACCCCGTCATCCGGAAGGCTGCTCGCAAACGCAAGTCCCTTTTGTGCTGGCCCGATCCCTCAAAGACCGGCTTTATCAACAAGACTAGCCTGAAAGCCAACTGGAGAGTGGTTCTCAACCTTGTGCGACTCTACTGTCCTTTGGCTCCTGCAAACAAGACTGCTCCTGTTGGGGCTATCAAGATGCAGGTGGCTCGGGGTTAAATTAATTGCTGTATGTATCCTTGCATTACCGATGTTTGTTTCACCTGTGGTCTCTTTTCATGCCCGAGGTGGAAAAATTCTTTGAGGAGATCAGCCTCACCCCCAGAATGGGATTGGTTCATTGCGAATCCCACAGCCTCCGAATGTTCATCAGCTACATCAACCGCCGAAACGATGGATCTAAGAGGAAGGCTTCTGGGCTTATGTCTTCCTTCTGTTTGAAGAAGAAACCCTAAACCCTAAACTTTATCCTAAACCCTAAACTTAGACCCTAAACTTCTGATAAGTGCTTGGTCATAGTTCGGATCTTTTCAGTTCACGGTGATACATAGTACTAAGAAGCCCTGTACCATGTGTAGACTCCATCATCCCAGGACTCTTGCATTGCTGAGATCTTCAAAGAGGTTGAGAAGCATTGGGCCCCAAAGATCCGCTCACGCGGGGCCTTGGTCGAGGAAGCCGGGGAGGCTGATGAAGAGCATGAACAGGGTGATGATGATGATGATGAGTGTGAGCAGGAAGGGGACGAAGACCAGATCACGGAGCCGGAGACAGAAGAGGACAGCCAGGAGTTGGTGGATCCTTACCTTGCCTCTGCCATGGGGCTGGATGCCACCTCACCCCAGCCTTGTTCGGCCTACGTGGGCACGATTCCTTATGAGGTGAATTGTGAGAACGGTAATCCCGTCCCTTCCGAGCCCTCAAGAGCCCTCACCGACATTGACAATGCTTGTGATGTTGATCTTGTGCGATCTCTTGCTGAGATTGAGCATCTCGCTGGCAGTCGTTTGAGTGGACTTCTTGGACGTAACAGATAATTACTCTCACGCCCCTAAACCCTAATCAAACCTAAACCCTA